ACATATAGCCCGATCCCATGCTCAGCTTATTAGTCGAATTACGTTAACCTGAAACGTCGTGCTAGGTTTTCTCACGATTTCACCAACGTCCGTAGAGAAAAACGCAAGGGGTGAGGAAAATTCCACTTTTTAATGAATATAGTGGATATTTTAGCAACCGAAGCAGAATGCGCTGTTGAAGTTATTGAGCATCAATTCAAACAAAACGGATTAATGACCAAATTATAAAGGAAACAAGAAGCAAATGACTAAGAAACTGTGTATAAAAGTAGAAGGTATAATATTGTAGTTACTATAGGTCTGTTGTAGTTTCATCCACGACTGTTATTGCCGTGCTGTTCTCGCTCTTTTCGTATTAAAGAGCCAGCTGATGACTGCAAGTGAAGAAGTCCTTTCTCCTTTCTTAAAGTGATCGTTAGATATATACTGCATATAAAAATGTTTTTCACTCAGCATTAGACTTATAATTAGGATGCGCAATGTCCGAATTGCCGCTGGCTCAGTAGTTAGTTTCCGGCAATCGCATTTCATTCGTCTGAGCAGATGCTGTATACCCATGATAAAAACGTGTGTGAATTAATCGTGTGCTGTCTCATTTTCAAGCCGCGAGGTCAGCTGACATCACCAAAAGAGAGTCGCAGGTCTCGCAGGCTTACCACTTCCAACTGCTCTAAAATGATCGAAATCTTCACTTTATTCGCTATCGAGCAGGGTGAGTATAAAAGCCGTCCCGAATGCAACAGGACAAGAAATTTGTTTCATGGACATTTGTCGAAGTAAACTTGTGCTAATTTGGCTTACCTGGTGCTTAGAGTGTGAAACTATTCTTTGTCAAAATTAACGTTTACAGTAAAATACGGTCAGTCCGATTTTGAAACTATATGAATTAGTTTATTTGTGTGCTTGTCGCTTTTCGACTAAAGATTCAAAAGTAACTGAATGTTTCTGGATAATATATTCTGCCGATAAAGAGGATATTTTGCATGAGTTATCTTTGCTGACGCCCAAATTTAAAAAGAGATACTTAATCATTTTTGTCCAGTAATAATCTTGCATTGAATACGGATAAAAGATACTGTTCTGCCTGGATAACTTACCGGATGTTAAAATCGAACAAGATACGTAATATTACCACCTGTGCAATGTCAAAACGACTATTGCATCGCTTAAAGTTTATGTATTGGTACCGCTTGTTATCTGGACCTCCTTTAAAGATGGTCGTCTTTATTTCCCTCTTAAAATGCCAGGTTGGATAAAGGTTCGGGAGTTATACTGATGGATATAAAAGACTACGCAGCGAAACTAGGGGCAGTCTTGTCGGGTCGTACCGAATTCTCGAAATCAGAGAAAGACAAGGACCCCATTGAGGTCGTCGGAGGTCAGTTGTCGAAAGTCCTCAAAGTTCTCCACAAAGAAAGTCATTTGTCTGCCAAAGAATTTGGGTGACTGAGGCCTGTGACATGACGATACCCAGAATGTGCAGCCTTCCGAAAATTCCCAAAAAAAGGTTACTCCTAATTGCAATCTCGGATATGAAGAATTTGCCCTATCACACCACCGCAACATGGCTAGGGGAAAAAAATAAACTGCTACAAAATCATCTGCACCCTCGAAATTTGAAGGATGTTTTTGAGTTTTTCGAGACTATCAAGAATAGAAGCAAAGAGCCGAGTCCCAGAAAGTAGTCTTGAAGAAGGCGACACGGTCGCCGGGACAAGAGCCGGAAGACAAAATTGCTGAACTACAATACCTCCGACGGGTCTTCAAAGCCAATGGCTACCCGCGCAACTTCGTCGATCGATGCATACGCAAAAGGGACGAAAGGCCTAACCACAGGGACACCAAATCTTGGCGGGCACTTCCGTATGTCAAGAACGTTTCGGAAGCTGTCGGTCGCCTTCTCGCACCACTTGGGGTTGGAGTGGCACACAGACCGGAGGCAACCATCAGGCGTCTGATCATGAAACCGAAAGACCCACTGCCACGGCTAGAAACGTCTGGAGTCGTTTATCGGATCTGGTGCAGTTGCGGACAAAGCAACTACGTCGGAGAAACCGGAAGACAGCTCCGAACGAGAATGGCCGAACACGCGGCAACGGTGCGCAGAAATGACGCCAGCTCTCAAGTTGCAGCTCATTCGACACACACACATTTAAATTCGATGAGGCCGAAATTCTCGCAAGAGGTGACAACCGAGTGAGCCGGGAGCTACTGGAATCATGGTTTACTGGCCCCCAGTCCATCAACAAGTGCAACGATCTTCCCATTCCATACTCCGTACTGAAACTTCGCCTAGGCGGGGTAACAAGCCATGCGGGGAGCGCAGAGGTGAACACTCTTCCCAACACCGGGGTCGATGCGTCAGATGGTCGAGCAATCATCACGCCAACATCCAACGCACGTGATGAAATTGCAGCAATTATCGACTCGAATGTCCGCCATCAAGCAATGATCACACCAAGTGCGACAATCCCGGATGAAGGGGGGCGCCGTGAACGTTCATAGGTATGCGGTAGCATGGCTACTGCATCCTATAAATACCGCAGCCCCTTGTGCAACAACCACCCGTTTCTGCTATTTTGTCTCTGATGATGGATTCGAGTAGGAATCCGAAACGTCAGGCTAATAAAGCTCTTGTCCCGGCGATCGTGTCGCCTTCTTCAAGACTATCAAGAATATTAACGTTGATGGACGGAGGATTCTATCACTAGACTTAACACCATTGTTTACTAACGTTCTCGTAACAGAAACAATAAGTTGCCTTTGTGATGCTGTCCGCGACACGAACTACCCTTAAGGTATGCTGGCGGAAACATTAAAAAGACTGCTGACACGCCCACGTTAAGTGCTGATTTTCTCTGCGATGGACAACTATACAGACAAATAGACGGTGTAGCAGGGGGCTCACCGCTTGGTCCGTTTCTCGCAAATGCTTTCCTGGACAAAGTCGAGAGGACACGATTACAAGACAATATTAATAACATAGACTTCTATGGTCGACAAGTGGGGGATATTCAGTCTGATAAATCTTACTACCGACACTGACGCATTGGTCCAAATGTTTAGTAGTACGCACCCCTTGCTAAAACTCTTCGCGTTCATCGAAGTCCTTCTGCGCACACTAGGGGATGGACCTATGCAGCGTAGTGTATTCCAAAAGAAAATCTAGACTAGACAATATAATAACTTTCACGATTTTGTTTCCCTAAACATTAGAAGTGATTTGGTCCAGGGATTGTTATTTTGAAACTGTTGACGCAGAACTGCATGATATTCGCGAAAACGAACACCCAGAGGTATTTATCCTTTAAAATAGTAGGGAGTGCACTGCAAAGCCCACCGCGGTAAAGACAGAAAAGGAAGACTTATTTATAAGACCGTCTTTTCTAGGAAACGCAGAAAGCCGACCAGTGAGACGGTCCCTAAAGATAGCGATCACTAGTACCCTCCCCGTCGCGAACTTACGGGTCTGTTTCACAAATTCTCCCCTATGACGCTGGGAAGGTAAATACTAACTATCGTTGCAGGTCACAACGATGTGCATTTACGCATTCACCTGCTCCTATGAAGTGGGATATATTGGTCGTACAACGAGAAACCTAAAACAGAGGGTACATGTACTCACCTTCCTGGATAGGCAAAGATGAAAACAGATCGACTTCGAGTATTATTCTCACACATCTAGTTAGTACGAATCATTGAGTCGATGCCAAAGAGACCTTTCAGGTTGTCTACCGGACGCCAGTAAACTTCTCCAAAAGCCTACGCCAACATGGGTTAGGTGCAGCCGAGGCGGCTAGCGAATCCAGTGCTATGTTTTCAGATGATTTAAACACAGTTGCTCTGTCTTCCCTTGCCCCAGTGATCATAACACGCCGACCTCGTCATGCGCGTGCCATGGGAACGATGAGTGTTAATTGCCCCTGAGGCACCTATGAACCCTTTTAATGTCTCGTAGTTTCAATTTCTGTGTGTCTGTAGTGGCCTGATGACGGCTTATAGAAGACGTATCAGTGTCAACTTGACTTTTAAAAGTTTTTGGCCAAAGGACGCTTTAACGACGACATCCACATCAAGATTTTACAACAACTGCTAAACACAAGGACTAACTAACGGCCTTTAGGGTGTGTAACTATGTCGATGGGGTGGCAAGGCGTGTTTATCAGCGGAAGTAATTATGCTAAGAAAAATTTTAGCCTGTTGGAGGTTCTTACGAAAAAGTTTCAATAATTTCCTACTTCAAGGTTCGAGACTTCAGAGTTCATGTATCCAGCGCCCTTAAATCGGGCCAAGCGGTAGAAGTGCTGGGCCAATACAGAGACTAGATCGGGATTCGGCAGGCGTTATTTGGAATACTCACCCCTAAAAACTGCCGACATAAGGAGTATGATGTAGGTCAAGGTGCAGGCGCCCGCCGCACCAGCTGGGATTCGAGTCGTCCTCTCACTTTTGTCTTGGCATATAAGATCCTGGCTAGTGTACGTTATGGACCTGGGGGTGTGATGGTATACCGCGCCGGACACTTGCGTTCTCTTCCACCTACGACCCTCGTGACACCAGATCCAGGTGGGAGGGGGGCGAGTGCGATAGATGCAGTGCAAGTCCACTATCGTTTCATACAATCTCACACGCAAGTCACTGTCCCTGCTCTCACCTTGCCGTGATGCGCACGGTAGGCGTCATCGGCAACGACGGTCGAACTGTCATCCGAGATGAAAACCCACTGAATAATGTTTACGCCTGTTATCTCTGCAAAAAGCCAGTCTGATCCTTCCCCTGATCAAAATCTTGAAGTAGCTTCCAACATATTTCAGCCCACGTTATGATACTGAAAATCATATGGAAAAGGAACGAATTTTAAAAATTGCATATGCAAAATGCATGAATAATGCGGAAATTCATTCTGATATGCAAATTAAAAGCATAGAACTGTTAATGCGTCCCAGAAAAAGGACACAAATACATACTAGGCGTACGGGCTAAAGATATTCTTCTCAGTGCTACTTATTGTTGTCCACGTTAGGCGTGTAAAAAAGGGGTATAACAGTTCGTTTTTCTAAAAACTGGACAGCTTTTTCTCCCAAAGATGACGGGCTTATAATTACGGAGGCACTATTTCGAACGTTATTTTGTGCATACTGACACCCTCCAGAAATGTTCTGGCTGCATTGTGGGCCACCTGATCCAGTATTTACAAGGGGTCGCTTGGGTAAATCCGATGAATCCTTGGGTTGATTTCGATACTGACTAGGATATGGTCCTCCAATGCCTCCGAGATCTAGGAAGTCGAGTAGCAGGTCGACAATTTCGAACAGCGTTATCAGACTTGCGCCGATCCATAAACCAACACAACCGCCGATGTCGCTTAGGAGGCGACTGAAAGGATATTCTTCTGTTTCCTCAACACGATCCATGAAAAGACTGGCGGGCACGACACGAAGCATCATGAAGTTCCTGTTAACGAAGTCAATATCCAGTAGATCGATTTGCCGCAGGTTGACTACTTCTGCTAATGTTATATTCCTGTCATGTACATTTTTTAAAGCCATTTTTGCCAGGTCGGACTTTCCGTTGTACTGTTTGAGCTCACGAGTTTCGAGCTCTGCTAGCAGTTGAAGCCAGTGCATTTCCGTGTGACGGTCTTGCACGGCAGGGAACTTCGTGTGTGCAATCACCCGGTCGATAGTATAGTGTTCGCAGACATCGAGGAAGCAATGTTTCCTATCCACAGACGCCGTGGCCTGGTTGAAACAATTTTCCAGGAAAGTGGGCTCAAGAGCGCCAGAGAAGCAGAAGGGTTGATGGTGGAATTCGTACATTACGGGCATGGTATGCATCTGACAACCACAGTACTTGGCTAGAGCCGACTGAACCTCTGCGTCTAGACAGTCTGACTGACTTGACAGGAAGGTCTGTGACTCGTTTTTTGCAACATTGACGTAGGAAATCCGAGTTCGAGTGGGAATACATTTGCCCAGTTTCGCTAAATGTGTCACTGAAGTCATTTTAAGCTCCACTTGAGTACATTCGTCTACAATTCCGCTGTGGCCAATGTGCGGGTAGGTGTTGGGTTCATGAATCATTAGCAGAACGCCCGGTGGGACTTGAAAGCTGTCGTGCGGGTCGAAGCGATACCCTTCTGGAAAGTCGAGAGCTTTGTATACGATTATGCGAAGGTCGGGTCTGAATCGATTATACCGTGTACGCGTTGATATTTCGCGACTCATGTTGTAGGGCATGCGTGTGGCGTTAAAAGTGTAGCAAGCGCCATATGGCCAGATGATTTTTTCATCGAAGTGCTCACTTGAGCATGGTGTTTGCATGTAGGAACATTCAACGATGGTAAGCCATTTGGGATGCACATAGTAAGTATTCCGTTTAATGAACAAGTAATCCGCGAGAGCAAGACGCTTGGCGAAGGGATGCGAGCTCCTCTTAAAGTCCTCAAACTCGCGAATGTTTTCTTTAATCCTCTCGAATTCTGGGGTTCCGCTGGGAGGGAAATAGATAGGATTGACGTTACAGAAGGTCACATCGGGAAAAATAAAATTGTCCGAGTCATGTAACACATTTGTCAGTACAGGCACCTGGAGGTACTTTTCAACAAGGAAAAAAAGATTGAAAAAGAAACCGAACGAAGAGGCAAGAGAGATACACAACCAGAACAGACGCCGCTGAGCAGTCCTTGCTTGTGCCAAGTGATTTAAACCATGCATGGTACTACGCCGGGAAAACCGGAGACAGCTTGCACCAAAGGCGGCAACTAGGTAGATGGCAGAACGTTTTGGTTGGGGTCTGAAAAGCCCTCCTAACTGCGTGCTATTTTCACCGAGTGGTCTGACACGAAGGAACTCCAAATTATGTCTTTCACTATAATTTTCCAGAATCGAGGCAGACTCAACGGTTGTAAAATTGTAGATTGATGATTTTGGAGGGGATGGCGAAGGCGTCTCAGTCCCTTGCAACTCCATTTTCTGAGTATTGGTATTCGTCGACTCGCTAAAAGTCAACTGTGCAGTTTACCTTAAGAGCATTGGCTGACGGAGGAGAATTTTATTGTGAGGGACCAATAGAAATGCAGCGCTACTCTAGCTATGGTTGGTCATCGGAGAACCAACGGTTAAGTGATTAAAATGTGGGCTTACTTGCAATGTTTTCCAGCGAAAACTACCCGTTTTGTTTTGTTATGATGTGCGTTTTCTCGAGCAAATTGGGTATGAATGCCGGATAATTAGCTTGGATACCGATTTAACGCCAACTAAAAATAATAGTAAATAAAAAGCTAGTTCAAAAGTAAGCATTGCCCAGTCGTCTTTCTTTTGCACAGGTTGGAAGTTGTGGTTTTAACGGATGCCTGATCTTCCGATGTTGGTTTTTGGTCGTTTGTTTAACCGTCACAGAGTGCTAGGACAATAATTGCGAGGTTATTCCAGGCCTCCAATGAGAAGAGACCGACTATGGCTGCTCGAATATAACACCGCACAGTGTCGATTGCGACGAACTGGGTGTGGGCATAGTAGATCGTGGTTCAAGTGTTTGACTTAAGGTTTCGCAATAATTTCGATTCGAGTTAGGAATTGGTTACAAAGGCACCTTATTTTGGCTTATCATAGCTAAATAACGGCGAAAAATCCAGCAATAATCATTTCCGTTTCCTTGGTTTTGTCAAAAGTATTACCGTAGTGAGAGGAATCTAGCTGACACTCTTCTGACGGAGACCCAAACAAGGGTTATACAAATAATGCAGCAAACGAGGTAAGGTGAGATAACTAACGCAGTTGCCTAAAATTCTACTCTGATAGAAGTTATAATTGATCCTTAAGGTTTGGAAACGATGCTGTTTTTAATTTTAGGCGGAAGAATAACACATAAATGATGTAGGGAGGAGTTACTTTTTCAACATGTAAATATAAAGCCTTACTTACTAGAACCATAACCTGCTGCCTTCAACATGGCTGCACGTTTAACTGAAGACACCGAGCTGTCAACGAGGCAAGGTGTTTAGTAAAATTAAAGACGCACTTTTTTCAGTGCAATTTAGACATACAGTTTTGACCGATTTAACACTTCGCAGCATGTCATTTTCCCATATACTGCTACGAAGTTAATTTGCGGCATCACGCTGTATGCATCACACTAACTTACTGGGGTATAGGCTTTATAAGAAGCAAGAGCATCTCGTAACGTTTTGTCTTGAAGGGTCGCAGACGATGACTGCACCGTCTAATTCAAACAAACGGATGCAAACTCTGACAAGCATAAACATATAGAGAATGGTCTAGTCGGACGCAGTCGCCCACAGCACGACAAAAGTGATTATCTAGAAACGTTGGCAGATATTTGACACCAAAATATAGGAATGTTCATTAACTGGACGGTTGGGCAGTAAATAACATTGAATTCCTGGTGATGCCCCCGCTCGTGATAACACAAGTGCGTTCACAAAATAGTCAGGCTAAAAAAATTTCAAGAGCCCCCCATTTTACAATTAACTATGCACACGATACTGAAACAGCACCATTGGCTGGCCTAGGAAGACCTCTCCTAATGGACATTAAAGACTATTTTGGGAAATCTAAACAAGGCAAAAGTCTCATAATTATTGTTAGTATTAGGAAATGCTCTTTGGGTTTTTGCCAGCTTGGCCACTGTACTTGTCACATTACTATCTATACGGACAGACGACGGCATATACAGAAAGAGAATATCTAGTGGCTACTGAGTGGTTGCCGTAGCTAAAACTCTAAAGGAACGAAACAACAGCCTGCGTCTTTATTGGCCTCTTTGAAAACCGACTTATAACGTGGATTGGCATTTGGTAAGTATGATTCTTTTTAGGCAAAGGCCGCCGAATAGAAATAACCCATGACCTTCGGCAGGTTCTACGTTGCAGCTCTTTCAAACGTTTCCATTATTAAGTAGGTCTACTGCTAATTATAAATTTTGCTGAAGAGTGCGAAGATTGAGACCGTAGTAACAAGGAGTCAGCAAGTAGTATAATGCGTATTAGATTGCTCCCACGGTCAATATTTACTTTTGACACGCATTGTTTCCAGGGTAACTTCATTATTTGGTTGAAGTCTGTGATACCTTGTTGGCACATAGTGATGGCAAAGTTGGAGCTGCTTTATCCTAATTTCTAAAAGTCAACTTAAGCTTACATATCGGCTGTTTATTGTTTTATAGAGAACAGGCACCGCAAAAACGAAGACCGGGATGTCCAATTTTATTTTATATGCATACGACAGACAAGAATATCCTAAGCATAGGCCGCCTAAAAACAGGCACTTCGCAATTAGTTGGGAGTTCATTTGAAATTTAACCGAACTTAGGTCAGGAGCGGCCATTTATTTTTCCTTTTTGATTTTATGCGCAAAACTACGCTTTAGGATACTGGTTTTATACAGTGTGCGACCTACCTTATGAAAGACGCCGAAATTTACAAAGGATTGTTAATAACTTGCAAGTCTGAAAGACGAATAAACTAAAGTTTTGAATTAACAACAAATTACTTTAAACAAACATAAAGAAAATATCAAAATAAACATTACTTTGTTTATAAATAATACTTCTGGAGAAGCGAGAAACCCACAAAACTCCAAAAATTGTTTTATGTGGGCAGACTGAGTTTTCGAAGTACAGAATTCCCGTCTACGCAAAACGCCAATTAAATAAAAAGTACAAGTTGAATAACATGCTCAAACAATATTTTAATGAAGTCTGCACTTAACTGTCCTTCACAAACGAATGGAACGTAACGCTAGGAAGTAAGCCAGCAGCTCATAGTTTGAACAGGGCCCCTCATAGTTTCATGAAAACTGCCGTGTTTTTTCAGCTTTCACATTGTTTGAAATGCATTTGATCAAGGCAAACGGGTTTTGGCTTGTTTCGTCGATAGGGACGCCACGGAAATTAAAATTTTCTTAAGTTCCATCACGGTAGGCCGGTTATCGGCCAAGAAATTTTTCAGCAGAGTTGTCAATTGCCATCGCAAACAGCTTTTTATGCATTTTGAGAAAACTTCTTTTCTGTCAAATCTCCTGTAATTGTTTCTAGGACCGGAGCACGATGAGCTTCAGATCGCCCTTGAAATAGAGGTGAAGGCTTCACGAATCCAGTGTTTTTAAATGATTTTTAATAAATGTAGATTCTGTTCTGCTGTCATCATAAAAACGAAAACAGAAACAGTTAGTTTTCTGCACATTCTGTTTCTGAATTACGTATGGGCGGAAATTAGACCAAACAAAAAGTATTATACCACAGGCTTAAAGTTAACACAGTCACTTTTGGAAGGCCTTTTCGCTGTCAGCTGTTGAATATTTAAAAAGGGCAGGTATCAGAATGTTTAAATGAAGGATTGCCAGCAAGTCTTATTACTGCGTTTAAGAGCATACAATCACACATTCTTGTCAGTCTGGCTTTTCAGATGGATAAAACCTCTGGTTTTCTAAAAACGACCTGCCTGCTTACACTTTACATCATTCGATTCACGTGGTGGAAGAAATCAATTTTCAGGTGTGACAAGTTGCGTTTGGTAAAATGCTAAAGTTTAAATAGCTCTCTTCTCACAGAAAAACATGCGTAGATAAGCAAACTTAGTCTAGAACAGCTACTGAGATAGGAATCTGCCGGAATGCAAAGCGACGTTTATTTCCGATAAAGTTTCTAAACATTTTAACTGAGAAAACAGTCTTTGTACTTATTGTGCATACGGAAAGGACATTTCCCGGAATAAGCTAGGCGAGTGAGTAAAGTGTGAAGCATTTTAATTGTCCACTATTGACTGTCTCAATTTCTGTCATCACATTTCGTGAGTTAGCTCACATACAAACACATCTGATTGAACCCATCGAGGCCCACAAGTTTAGTGAGAGCGTTTGCGTTTCAGTCCTCACTTCGCAAGTATCGATATAGCTAAACAAATGGGAGCAAATGAACCGCCTACAACACTAATCAAAATTACTCTTTTTGTGAAAAAACGTCGAATATCACATATATGTACAATGGTAGAGGTGCGAGTGCCGGACGCAGTACAAGACGCACCGGTTGTTGTTTGCATTTGAGACTCATTCTCGAGTCCTATTAGCAGCCGCTGGTTTTATGGGCAGAATGACATTACTGAAAAAGACGAGGGAGACTGTAGTAGTCACTTCGAGCCTACTAAGCGTCGTCAGCTAACCAATCCCGAGCCCTGACTCAGCAACTCCCGAGGCTCGAACCCTTAGCCTGTTGGTTAGGGGCCTAATACTCTAACCATTGACCTACGGCTCGAGGCCTGGGAGGACAGCTTACCCTCACTTTAGACGCGAGGAAGGGGACTGCCTGGGTGAATTAATTTTGTCGTGGCCGCTGAGTAGGCACGGCGGAGAGGTTAACCGGACTGGTCTTTCTGAAACGCAGGTGTGAGAAATAGCTATATTTTAATTGCCAGCACACTTACTTTTGGTTGACAATTTTCCATACACCTTGTGATATTGTTTCGAGGAATTCGTGCTCCCATTGTATATTTTTAGCTTCCGCATACCATCAGAAATAAACGTGTAAGCCTACGAAAACTTCCTTAGGACACGTTTTTGGGCTTGTTCTGAAAGTTGGTTGAAATATTCGAGAGACTTCGAGCAGTTTAACTGAAAAAACCGCTTAATATTTGCTGCCTGCCCATGAAAGCTCAGTAATGCAAAAAAACCATACTGGGATTGGTTTATCATTTTCTCGGCACGCTGTTTTGACAATTTTGTGTCACCACATGACACAGCTGCGAGAGGTTAGATTCTTCAGTGGGTCATCAACATTTCCTGACGGTTAGCCCTTCAACATGTGACCTTACGACTGTGGTTCTGGTGACCTCTCAAGATAGGAAATAATGCAATATATTCTTCACTCCCATAGGACAGGACAAATGGAAACCTGACGTGTGCTAACGACGTCGTGTAGCATTCTATTTAGCGTTGACAGCTCGTTTAGCTGTCGC